AAGATCTGAAACTCTGTCTTCACTTTTACTTAAAAAGTTTTGCAAGCTTGTGATTGAGATTTTAATTTCCTCTATATTTCTTTGACTCTGCTTCATGCGATCTATTTCTTTCTTGTATTGCTCATTCAAGGAATCCGTCATTTTTCTAATCTCTTATTTTTTTCAATGTCTTCTTCAGAAACAATTATAAATTCTTTTATTGCAGTTTTTTTTCAGATTGGATTTCCTCCCTATGTTTCTGTAGTTGATTCTTTACTTCAGATGCTAGAGATCCAAGAATTCTTTTTTTATTTCAGAAAAGAATTGTGCTCTGAGTTCCTATATGACTTTCTGCTGTTGCTATTTACTATTGACGGTATTCATTCATACATCTGAGGTGAGCTAGTGTCCTCTGCACTTGTTCTGGCTGGGCATTGGGTTTCCTCCATATGTTTCTGAATTTGATTCTTTATTGCAGATGTTATTAATTCAGGGATTTCTTTTTTTATTTCCAATCTGAGTTCCTCTATTCCTTTCTGCAGCTGTTTCTTTATTTCAGAAGCCGCTGATTCATTGCTTTCAGCTGTGTGATTCCCAATTTGTTCTGTGTTAGTGTCCTTTGCACTTTTTCCGGGTGGGATTGGGTTCTGAGATTGCATTTTGTTCCTTCTTGTCATTTTGTGTAGCACTGTCTTCTGACCTTTGTTGTAGATCTTTGTTGCAGTTATAACTTTAGCACCTACTGAAGTTCAGGTGTAGATCTACAAAGTTTGGATTTATCCAGCTGTACCTGGCTTGGGTCTGGCTGCTGTGCTCAGCTCCTTCCTGCTGCTGCCCTTCGGGGTGAACCTGTTGTACCCCTCTGGCAAAATGTTCTGCTCCTGGACTAGCTGAGTGGTTCTGTCTCCTATACTCTATGCAGGGATTGCAGCTGCAGGGCTGCACCCCAGGCCTATATGCCAGGCCTGAGCTGAGTCTGGAGGGGACAAGGTGTAGTAGGGGTGAGAGGCAGCTCTCCCACACAGTCACCTACTTCTCCCACACAGCCTGAAGTAGGACTACACCTGGGGATTCCCAGAATGCGACAGAAATTCCTACTCTGTGGGCGGGGCGTGTTGGGGTACTGCGGATTGATGGGGTGGCGTCTCAAGAGGGTGAAAGAGGGTCTCATCCATGCCGTGCCTGGGCTGGGACCATTAGGTCCCACCTGCACAGGGTAGCCAGAAGCTGTCCCACACACTCAGCGGGCCTGGCCTAGAACTGGATCTGGGGGTTCCCGGAATACAGTAGAAATTCCTACTGGGCAGGCAGGGTAGGTGAGGTGCTACTGAGTTTTGGGGGGGCGTCCCAAGGGGGTGGAAGAGGGTCTCACCCACAGTAGGTCCCGTTGGCACAGGGTAGCCGGAAGCTCTCCCACACACGCACTGAGCCTGGGCTAGGACTGGGTCGCAAACAAAGCTTTAAGTTATAAGTCTTTAAGTTAGCAATTATTTCTTCACTGATTGATAAAAACAATGTGAAGATCCACCATAGACTAGGGTCACAGCATATAAACTAGGACACTCTTTTTGGTGGTTAAACTGGCAGAATTATCATATACAATTTAAGTATGCCTCAATTGAGTAATTTTCTATTTAGAAATATATAGATATTAGGGTATACAATAATACATAAAACAAAAGTTTAACTGTAGTGTTCCTAGATAACAGCAAGTTTGATTTTCAACTTCTAAGTTAGCAAAGAAATTTAAAAATAATTTTTTTTTGTGGAACTGGGGATTGAACTCAGATCTTTGCATTTGCCAGTCAAGCGCTTATCCTACTGGGCCATCTCCCTGGCCCCTAAAAATAATTTTTAAAAAACTAATTTACTCAGTTTTAAGACTAGAAAGATTTTTGTAACAGTCCAATGACATGTTAAAACATCACTACGTTAAAGACAAAAGACAAAAAAAGTGTCAGCATATGGTATTGTACTATTATCACGCTGTTCATTATTGCTGTTCACTTCTAAATGGGTGGAGCAAGTTTCACTAATAGACTTTATTTTATTTATTTATTTTTTTAAAATTTTATTTATTTGTGTGTGTGTGTCTGTGTGTGTCTGTGTGTGGCCAGCTCAGCCCACCAGGGGGCGGGGCTGGCTGGCATGTGGTGCTGGGAGATTGAACCGCGGTCCCTGTGCTTTGCTAAGCTTGTTCTAAGTAGGTGCTTTAGACCACTGAGCCATCTCACCAGCCCTTTCACTAATAGACTTTATTTTATTTTATTTTTTTTAATTTTTTTTTTTTTTTATTATGAGAGAGAGAGAGAGAGAGAGAGAGAGAGAGTGAGTGTGGTGTGTGTGGCCAGCTCAGCCCACCAGGGGGCGGGGCTGGCTGGCATGTGGTGCTGGGGGATTGAACCGCGGTCCCTGATGCTTCGCTAAGCTTGTTCTAAGTAGGTGCTTTAGACCACTGAGCCATCTCTCCAGCCCCACTAATAGATTTTAAAGCACAGAGGAAAGAGGGGATGACAGGAAGGGGGAAAAGAAAAGGAAACTTAATCTCAGTTTTCTAAATTTCTTAAGCAAGTTACAGAAAATTTCAGCCAAGTACTTAAGAGATTTTGAAGGATGCTAAAAACAATTTAAAAAATGGCATTTTTATTCTCAAAAGAGACAGAAGTTCTTTAGTAATGAAATACTTCACAGAATGACTAAATGTAGGAAAAACACTGATCAGTTTAGAACATTGGTTTAGTGGTATTTAAGTAAGACCATAAAATGAAATTGCTAGCAACTGGAAGACTTACCTTGTCTAAGAGCATTTCTCTCTCAACTTCTACCTCTTCACTCCACACAGTCATATCATTCTTAGTTTTCTGAGTCACAGTCAGAATCATTAGTTTGCTACTAGCCACTTCTGGAAATAGTGATTCAAAGTCTGAAAACATGAATACAAATTTCAAGAAGAAAATAATTTGCTTTCTTTTTTTTGCTGTACCAAGAATGGAACTCAGGACCTCGCACTTGCCAGGCAGTGCTTATGCCACAGAGCTATCTCCCCAGCACTAATAATTTACTTTTTAAAAAAGACATAGTTCATAGATATAGAACTTTAGAAAATAATTTTTAAGTTGTTTTTATGGTACCAAGTTATTATTATAGATACGTATTATTTTTAAGATTGAAACAAACTTAGATCACTTCTGCTTTTGTGGGATGAGCTAGAAAATCCTTGCCAAGAATCCTGAGTGATAAATGGGGTTACATATTACTGCTGTTAATATCATTTCCAATTTTCTGTATTTTATATTACCTCCATGAAATTATAACTAAACTGATCAACCAGGAATAGAAATGACAAGCTTTAGGTAAAAAGCTACTAACAATCTACTATTTCTATGTAATTGTAGCATGACTTGAGATATTATGGGACATCTGGAAGCCTTTATCTTAAGCATGCACTCTTTTTCCACACATACTAAATGCTGAGGTACAGAGGATTAAAATTCCTAAGGAGTACATTATTCCTTCAACACATTAAGAAACCAGCAACATTATCTCATACTTGTTAGTATTTCAAAGCATAAAGTATGACATACCTCTTCGAAGCAATTCTGGACATGTTTGGATTACACACTCAACTCTGGCACTTTCAAAATAAGTTTCAGCACTGTTAATTTCTTGTTCTACAGGTGTATTACTACTCTATGAGAAATAAGGATTTAAGAAACAAAGGCTATAATTCAAATAAAATAATACATCTTTAAAAAGTTTTTAAAAATAATCTTAGCTGGAAGGTGAGGAAATACCTGCATATATATATACAAACTGTCCAAGATGAATACATGATCTAAAACTTTGAAATTCTGAACAAAATGGAACATAGATATATATTGATATTCTAGGATTAGCTATGAACTAAAATTGGCTGAGAAACTAAGATGACATAATTTATGCTGCAAAATGTTATTCTGGTATTTCATAACATCTTTTTTGTGCTATAATCTGTAAAACTAGGATTTGAACACTAACTTGAAAAATAATATGACAATATGATCTCTCCTATAAGAAGGGCTTGGAGGTCTTTATTCAACTGAAATTTGGAGTCTATTAATATATCAACATTTTGATAGATGCAGACACTATTGAGAAAAAAAAAAATCCAGTCTTTACTGTCAAGTATATAAGACCTAAGAAGAAAAACAAGCACAATAAATACATGCAATTCAGTATGAAGAAAAGTCTTCTAGGAAAACTAGTAAGAAAGGAACCTGCTTTGCTGGGAGGAACCAAGAAAACAACGAAATGGTCGTATCTGAGTTATGTATTAATTCATGTGGGTTTGACAGGTAATAAGTAGAATATGGGCTAGGAATCTGGAAGGAAAAGTCATCTAGTAAAAGGGGAAAAACCACCTAAGTCAAGAGAGAAATAAGAGTACAAAGGTACACAATAGTGAAAGAGAATGGCATGATTTTTAATAAAAGTAACTACGTTATAGCTGGATAGAAAAAAATACTTTAAAATGAGAGAGGTAAGGGATTAAAACTGTGAAAGACCATTTATACTACATTAAGAAATTCTGATTTTTGTTTATAAGCCATGAAAAATGGTAAGATCCAACATGAAAAGCTAATGTTAGAGTTAATGTGGAGGATGATACATGGCTAGCAAGGAGCAGCTAACAGTTTAGTTAACCAACATTTCTTAATTTGTACTGGATTAAAATGCTTTACATACATTTTCACAGACCCAACTTTTGAACCTTAAATGTATTCTCTCTCCATAGTCCAGCATCCTGTAATACCTCTCAATCCAGATAAACAAACCCTGAACTCTTGAAAAGAATTGCAATAAGCAACTACAAAGAAGCAATGAACTCTGACACCACTTATGAGGATCTGATGCTAAGGGCAATCAAGGCTGGCATTGTAATTTTTCTCTTGGTACAACACAGTTATACTTCTATACTATTTGTTATATGAGAATAAGAACAGGTTTTGAAAGAAAAAGGCTTACTTCCTATCTTAATGTAGTGAAAGTGACCATTCAAAGTTTTTATCTCTATTCTATCCCACTACTTTGACTTTCTCTGCACTCCAATGTCATTGCTATAAGTTTAAACCTAAGATGTCCCAGGGCCAGCCAAATAGCTCAGCGGATTAAACCACCTGCAAGTAGGCACAGGGGCTGGGGGTTCAACCCCTGGGCCTGCCATGTGGGCCCTGCCCCCAGGGTGTGCTGAGATGGTGATTGAGAGTGGGTGTGGTAACGCATACTTGTAATCCCAGCACTTGGGAGGCTGTAAACAGGAGAATAGCACTATGAGTCTGATTTAGTAGTGAGATCCTGAACACCCTGTAGACCTTTCCCTAAAATGCAGAAAAAAAAAAAAAAAAAAAACCAAACCAAAGATGTCCCTCAAAAATCCTATGTTGGGACCAGGCTGTAAAGGTCAAGTCTAGAGGAATATGACCTAAAAACGGGTGCATTCTTGTTCCCCCCTCTTCTCTCTTCCTGGATGTCAAGGGTGCAGTAGATTTTTCTTCACAAGCTTAAAGGTGTAAGACCATGTATGTTTTTGAAATACTCTGCTTTGAGTGGAGGGCCCCAGGGTACTCTGCTCATCTGGACCACCTAAGAAGCGTTTCCACAAATTCAGCTATCCAGGCACTCAGGATCCACTGATATCATGGTCCATTGGTGCCTAAGCTATTCCTCGAGCTGGCATGTCGCAATGCTGTCTCAATGTCAGTTCACCTGATAAACCTTAGGGTCACTCTTTTTTTTTTCAAGTTTCAATCTTTTATTTTAAAATTTTATTTTAGCCCTTACATTTAATAAATACCAATTATTTAAAAATGCTAATAGATGCATTGCCTGGTAATGGAAAGGAATCATGTCGTGTGCTGAAGAAAAGACCCAGTCTTGCAAGAGGGTCACTCTTGTGGTGCTGTTTTATCAGGATTATGAAGGCTTCTACTCAGATTTCAGAAAAATCTGTGAGAAGCCAGGCAACATATTCCCCTGAAGTTATGGAATGAAGCTTAAGGTGCAGTGGATACCCCAGGAAGCTGGAGACATTAGAATATGCTATGTCTTGTAGGCAAAGCTGAAAGCTGTGAGCAGAGGCAGTCTAAGAGAAGCCATATGGGCTAACAAGGCCATTGAGAAAGGGCTGCCCACACCATTTAGAGTTTAAATCTCACACCAACCTGCCACAGATACTGGGCATAGACTAAGATTTAATGTTTCCCCTGATGAGTTTTTCTCTTGCTTTGTTCAAATTTCTTTCTATCTCTGTTCATTCATTTGGAATGAGAATGTTTATCATACGCTACTGCATGCTGAAGGTACTTCACTTTTTTTTTTTTTTTTTTCAGAACCGGGGATTGAACTCAGGCCCTACTGAGCTATCTCTGCAGCCTTTCTTTTCTTTTCTTTTTTTTTTTTTTTAAACCAGAGTCACAGCTAAGAGTTTGCTTTAAGTCTCAGAGAAGACAGTGGACTTGGGACTTTTAACATTAAGACTTTGGTGACTCATAAGAGATGGACTAAAGGCACTCTGCTAATGAGATAGACATGAGCCTTCTGAGGGTCAGGGGAGGAATGTTGTGGCTTTGATCTAAAATGTGCCACAAAAATTTTGGATTTAGAGATGGGACTGGTTGTTGTATGGCCAAGTCCTGGAAAGGTGATTTCCTGTTCCTGAGTCTTCTTTTCTCTCTGCTTCCTGGCTGCCATGGGTTAAGCAGCTTTTCTTACCAGGCCCTCTACCATACTTTTCTACCTTTAAGCCAGTAAGCCATGAACCAAACTCACTGGAACCATGAGCCAAATAAACCTCTGCTTTAAGTTGTAGGTCAGTGGGAAAGTGACTAATATAGCCATACTCTTGTACCATGCAAAAACTGGGGACTTTTAAGATCCCTGATAGAAATACCAGGTAGGCAAATAGACATATTTAGAGCCCAAAATTTCAGAAATAATAATTCATATAAATATAGCCTGTGGAGGAAGCTAAAAGATTAAACGATCAAACAGTTTTTTTTGAGAGTCTTGCTATATAGTTCAGGATGGTCTCAAACTCACAGCAACCTTCCTGCATCAGTCTACCAAGTACTGGAATTACAGGTATGTACCAACACACCAGGCCACAGTAATATAAATGAAAAGATAAAGAACTTGCTCTGTAATTCAGGCTGGCCCCAAACTCACAGAAATCTTCCTGCCTCAATCTCCACTAAGTGCCAGCACACCAAGCCAGGGTAATTTAAATAAGGACAGAAACCTATGGGAAATATCACTTAATTGATAGGCAGAGAAGGACCAAAGATCCAAGAAGATCGAGAAGGATAGGGCAAATAAACTGTGTCCCAATGTCAGGTCATCTGATATAACTCAATTTCTGTAAGGAATTGCTATTCCTAATAATAAATGTCTGATTGAAATCTCTACTTGAAATTATGTAAAAAAGTGAAAATAATAAACACCAGGCATTTGACTAAAAACTCTGAACTACTAAAAATCCTGAATAAGGAATGCTATAATTTTCATTTAAAAATCTTTAAACAAAACTCAAAAAGTTATCACCAAATTCGTCAGAAATGATTTAAAGACAAGTAAACAAATACTCAAATATTTATATTTTTTTTGTTTAGTATATATGAACAATTTCAGAGACTTCAATTCTTAAGTTTTTAAATGGCTGGAAGAATATAAACCTAGGGGAATTAAAACTGTAATTGTCTTTATGTATTTGGTTGTTGCAGGGTTTCACTATGTAGATCGGACTCGTGTGATCTTCCTGCTTTCAGCCTCCCCAGTGCTGGGATTATGTGCACCACTAAGCTCAGACTCTGGCTGGCTCAGCCTGCCCTGAGGAGTGGGGCTGGCACGGCATGCAGTACTGGAGACAGAACCATGGTCTCTGTGCTTGCTTAAGCAGGTGCTTTAGTCCACTGAGTTATCTTGCCAGCCCCATAACTATCACTTTTAAAAGCAAAAAAAAAAGAAGCCTAAATTTCCAGCAATAAAGCTAAATTATGTATATTTGCAAGTTATTACAAATATATTGTTTTTTTTCTTTCTTTCTTATTTATTTATTTATTTAGTGTGTGTGTGTGTGTGGCCAGCTCAGCCCACCAGGGGGCGGGGCTGGCTGGCATGTGGTGCTGGGGGATTGAACTGCGGTCCCTGTGCTTTTGCTTAGCTTGTTCTAAGTAGGTGCTTTAGACCACTGAGCCATCTCATCAGCCCCACAAATATATTGTTGAATTAATTACTAAATGAGAATAACGTAAAGTTAAAATTACATAGCAAACATGACAAAACTTGGACAGCATCAACACATCAAAGCTACTTATGTTGTTTTGTACATACTGGGAATTTACTTTTCTTTTTCAATAAAAGTAATATACCCAGGGTAATAAAAAAAAAAAAAAAAACAGCATAACAATTAGAAGAACACAATGGCAAACAACAACTTACCTGAAATTCATTTACATATTGTGCCATCACAAACTCATGTCTTTCAGTTGATAAAGGCTCTGCTAGAACATCAGGCAAAGTTTTATGACCCTGGCTTTTGTTTTGTACAGCAGTCCCATTAAGGTGACAATCAAAGCCTATATTTCCAGGAAGCTGGAAACGCTGATCTTGAGGTCCAAAAGGTCCCATGGTTTCATCTGGCCACACTGTTCGAGAGCCTAAATAGGAACAACAACAACAAAAAGCAATCATTTTCTCCTTAAATGTCAAGGATATGAAAGAATGATCATCTTACAACACTTGTGTTTTTATTAACAGATCTCTGAAATCTGTTCTCTTGAATGAATATAAATTAGTTTGTTTCCAAAAAATACTAATCATAAAACTAGTTAGCTCAAAGACAGATCCACTACTAGAGGAAGGAGTCAATAAAGTACTGTAACTCATATACTAGATGACAGCCATTATAAAGAATACAAAACATTTTACATACTGACCTGAGTAAAATCCACATTACACAGCATTAAAAGAAAAAAGCTGTATCAAGAATAGCACAGTAACATTTGTATCTTTATATTCCTATTTTTAAATAAAGAGAAAAAGATTTAAAAGGAAAGAGGCTAATTTTAACAGTAGTTATCCTTAGGGAAGAGCAATTCATCTGCTGTTCTCTAGGGGCCATATCATTAATGTGGGGGGAGTATCATGTATTATGTGACATAATCCTGTACTCACAAGCTTCATGAATTAACACAGGTTATAAATATGAACAGATCACATTACTTTATCTGTATACAATTTTAAAAATATACTAATTTATAAAAATTTCATAAAGATTCAGAAAGAACAAGGTAGGAAATTAAATAAATAGTTAAGAGTATGAATTTGATACAGAGAACAGGGACAACTGCTATGCATATTACTTAGCAATAGAATAATAATAATAATTTTTTTTTTTTTTGGAACCGGGGACTGAACTCAGGCCCTTGCGCTTACCAGGGAAATATGTATTCTACTGGGCCATCTCCCCGGCCCCAAGAATTATTTTTAATATCCTGTCAGAACTGCTGTTTGAAAATGGCTATGTCAATATGGCTGACTCATTGCTTGATCACAAATGCAATTATATTTCTCTTCCACACCTAATAACATGCAAGACCCAGCAACCATGCAACTCTCTCCTGCTAAACTGTTTCAAAATTCTCAACACTCTCTACTCCAACGCTTCTCAATTTTAGAGTATTTAAGAATTATCTGGAATCCTGTTAAAATGTAGATTTTGATTTAGTAAGTCTGGAATGAATCTCAGGATTTACATTTTTAACAAGTTTCCAAATGATACAGAGTCACAGGGCTCCAGGCTCCTAAAGATTGACTGAAGCCAATTCCCAAGATAAACCTGTTAGTTGCTTCTGAGTGAGTTTAACTAAAAGACCACTGAGGTCTACCAGTCTCATGTTTTCTTTAAAGAAGATAAATGTTCCACATTAATAGTGGATTTAAGCCCATTTTCATGTTAGTCATTTAAGATTTCTCTTTGGTGAAAGGCCTGTGCTTATGATGTTATTTGGCTTTCAGTTTGGTTGCCTTTTTCCTACTGATATTATAAAATTTAGACGAACCTCTTATGGATCTAAATAATAAAATCTTTTGATTTATTACACATACAGGGTTAGTCTTCAGGAGATATAAACTGGATTATATCTGTCAGTATGTATGCAAGGTTGGCAGTAAAAGTGCCAGCACTGCACACATCAAAACTATACTTGCACTGCTAACTGGAGGCCTCTATGCCTGGTACAACTACAAAGTTTCTTTTCCCTATGCAGCCTACCTCCCTGATTAAAACCAATAAGCCATGAGCTTTTGGAGACAGGTCTTTTGGTCCAGAGAGACCACTGTGTCATATCATAGCTCCTTGAGAGCAGAATATTCTGTTTTTCTTTTGCATCCTTGTGCCATACTGCCAGGTAGGTTATACTGATATCCTCCACGGGGGTTTCAGTAAAAGAGTACTCTCCGAGTCATTCCTGAAAGGTATAATTACCCAAAACCAGGCACAGATCCAACCAAAAAGGAACTAAAGGCCAATTTCTCTGATGAACACAAGTGAAAAAGTCCTTAACAAGATCCTGGCAAAGAATATAAAGAATCAAAGAGATCATATTATGACCAAGTAGGCTTCTTTCCAGGCATGCAAGGATGGTTCAACATATAAAAATCAATAAATGTAATAGAGCACAAGAACAGAACCAAGGACAAAAATTTGCATGATCACTTAAAATAAATGTAGAAAAACCCTGACAAAATCCAACAACCTGGATAGCCTGATAGCTCAGCGGACTAAAGCGCCTGCTTAGGCAAAGTGCAGTAGCCAGGGTTCGATACCCAGCATGTAGTGCCAGCCCTGCCCCCGGGGGCGCACTGAGATGATGACTGAGACTGGGCATGGTGGCACACACCTGTAATCCCAGCACTTGGGAGGATGAAAATAGGAGAATTACTACGAATCTGATCTACAGTGGGATTCTGTACACCCTGTAGACCTTGTCCTAAAGATAGGAAAAAAAAAAGAAATCCAACAACCTTTTACAATAAAAACACTGAAAAAAATAGGTACAGAATAATGAACCTTTATTTCAATTTCATAAAAGTCACTTATGACAAACCTATTCCCAACATCATATTAAATGGAGAAAACCAAAAGCTTTACTTCTAAAAGTAGGAACAACATGAAGATATCCACTATCACCAGTCCTATCCAACATAGCCCTAGAAACATCTGCAAGAGTAATTACACAAGAAAAAAAAGTAGTGTAAGAAAAGACAAATCATTATTTGCAGGTGATATGATCCTGTACACGTAAGACCCAAAAAATTCTAGCAAGATTCCTACAAATAACCAAATTCAGCAGTGTACCAAGATACAAAATTAATGCATTATCATTCTTGTAGATCAATAGCAAAACTACAGTGAAAGAAAAATAATACCACTTAAAATAGCATCAAGAAAAATCAAATATTTAGGAATTAACCTAAAGAAGGAAGTGAAGGATTTCTGCAATGAAGATTATAGCATTCTGAAAAAGAAAATCAAAGAGGATATCAGATAATGGAAGCATGTCTCCTGTTCCTGGATAGCTAGAAGCAATATAGTCAAAATGGCTATTTATTCCAAAACTAATACAGATTTAATGCAATCAAAATCAAAATACCAACAGCATTCTTCAGATAACTGGAGAAAACAATCCAAACATTCAGGTGAAACCAAGAAAGACTCAGAATCTCAAATGTAAACCAAGAAAGACCCATATAGCAAGAGTGAAGCAGGAGGTATTATAATTTGGACTTGAAGTTATATTACAAAGTTACAGTGATTAAAAACAGCATTGTGGAAGGGAAAGAAACTGCTGAAAAGTAAAGAACAACTGGGTTGGGCAAAAGAGAAAAGAAAGTAGGAGGAATACACACACACACACACACACACACACACATAGCTAAGATCACTGTACTGCTAATTTCTATTGGTTTACTGAAAAAGAACAGATAACGCTTAATTTTGCATACCTATACTGGGTAATCTGAATAATTACTTTGAAGATAAAACAACCATTGTTAACTTCCTATCATCTTGTTTTGAAATTCTGTATCTTTTGTTTAAAACAATTTTTTATTCTCTTTAAAATAAAAAGACACCAGCATGATACTGTATAAATATATGTGATTTATCAAACAGAGGATGCAGCAACAACTGAAAGTACATTTAACTATTTGCTCTTTGACAAAGAGGGCAAAAGCATACAGTGGAAGAAAGCATATAGTGGAGGAAAGACTGGCTCTTTAACAAATGTTACTGGGAAAAGTGGCTAATCACATTGAGAAGACTGAATTGAACATTTATCTCCCAGCATGTGCTAAACTAAAATAAAAATGGATCAAAGAACTAAATGTTAAAACAGAAACAAACCTGTGGAAGATAAAAATAAGCTGAACTCTGAAGTCAGGAATAAGCAAAGACATCTCAACAGACCCTGGTTGTACAGGAAATAGTACCAAGAATCAACAAATGGGCTCATATCAAATTAAGAAGTTTCTGCACACCAGAAGAACCAACAGTGAGAAAAGATAGCCTACAAAATGCAAAATATTTGGCAGCTATTCCACAGACACAGGACTCAAATATAAACATAAATGTATAATGAAAGAAAAAATAGATGCACCCCAAATAAAAGACCCAATCAAATAATGGACAACTGAAATGGATACTTTACAGAAGAAGTACAAATGGCCAATAAACACATGAAAAAAAAGTTCATCATTTCTGGATATCAGTGAAAGGCAAATTAAAACACAGAAACTCCATCTTACCCCAAAACGAATGGCAATCATCAAGAAATCAAAAATAATAACAAATCCTATCAAGGCTGTGGATATAGCAAATCTATTTTACATTGTTGATAGGACTATAAACCAGCAAAACTACTATGGAAGTCAGTATGGAGAGTTCAAAAAACCTGAAAATAATAATTCCTCTTGACCCATATATTACCCTGAAAGAGTTAAAGACATCAGATTACAGTGACACTTGTATGCTCACACTTACAGCAGCATGACTCATAATATGTGTGTGAACAGATGAATGGATGAAGAAAATGTAGCTTTTATACATAATGGGGTTGTCATAAAGGATAAACTTTAGTCATCTGGGAAAACGTATTTGCCTTGACATCGTAATGTTAACTAAAATAATACACACAAGTTTAAATTTCACATGATTTCTCTTATAGAGAAATCCAAACTATAAATAAAAAGCAAAATAAAGAACATAATAGGAAACAGGGACATAGATTCTTTTGCAATAGGGAAGAGGACTTAAGAGATGAAGGGAGGAAGGAGGGGGAAGGAAAAGAAATGATAAAAGTAATCAAGAAGTTTTATGTATATGTATCAACTCCCCCACAAGGAATGTAAATATATTACAAACATGTACTAATAAAAAAAGTTCAATACAGAAATGACAGGTTTGTAGTACTTTTCAAATTTACTTCTAAATTTATAATTTCTAAACATAGAACCTTCTTAAAAAACAAACACCAATGGCTTATAGCTTGAGGATAAATTGGGAACTTATTGAAAGTAATGGGACAATCAAGGTATATCAAGAAAGTGACACAAAACATTTAAAAGTCATTAGCATGACAGGGCTGTGCCAAACAAATTACAGATTTTGTAGGTAGTAGGTAAATCACTAAGTATATACTATACATGTCAGCTACCTTGAAGAAATTAATCAAAAATGGCAAGAAGTAATGTTTTAATGGAGTCAAAAGGAAACCTGTTTCAGGGAGGACTGGGTTGTCTGAAGATATAAAGAAACTCAAGTTTAGTAAACAAGCTCTGGAAAACAGTATAGTCTCTGATTTGTGGTGGTTTAACACATGACTTTTTGACATTGTAGTGCAAAAGCCACATGTATCAAACTTTGAATTTTTATATTTTTCCTGTTTAGCAACATGCTATAATCTCTCTCAATGTAGGGCAGTGAGCTACATTTCATAGTGAGCTATGTAGTCTACTAAGTATTGCGTTGGCACAATTATTTGTGAGGTTAGCTGTATCAAATGCAGGATCTTTTACTTACATATATCTGGGGATGCAGGGGCCACATGAGATTCATCAGAACCTGAAGATCCTGCCGTTGAAAAGGCCTTTGGATTAACAACTCTTCTAACTAAAGAGTAAAATCCTGGGAGATAAGAAACCAGTCTGGCCCTGTTACAGAGCACCTAAGAATGATTTAAAAAAAAAAAAAAAAAATTAACATTATTTATGCTGAACATAAATAGTGTAACTTCTGATTATGTAACACATAATATGTATTTATTATTTTAAAATAAATACCACAAAAATTGCCAGAATTAAAATGGAATTACTTAGAGCAAATCCTAATGAAATCAAGAGGCCATTAAGGTGGGAAGGTAATAGGGAGATTCATCATATTTGCTTCATAATAGCACTATCACAAAAGATTCTGCTAAAACCTCACAAGAAAGAACAATCTTACACAAAAAAAACTTCTATGAAGGTGCTTGCCTTCCAAATGCCTATTCAACCTTGTACTGTTTTTTTCATTAATGATCCCAGTGCCAAGGTTAATTTCTAAAACAACTGTTTAACTATCTTCATTTTAACTTTAAAAGTCTTGCCTTTCTTTGCCTCCTTGGGTGCATCTCCCATAGTATATGCCATAGTGTGTATTATGGATTACAATCAGTCACTCACTCTTGAATAAACCCTTTTTCTCTGAAAGTCTCTCTCTACATAACTATGTTGACAACACAGATATTAAAACAAGTCAGTGAAGCATACCTGCCACATTTCAGCCCTGTCTGGACAATTTGGTGATTTAGGGAGATAATCTCAAAATAAAATATAAAAAAGGTCAAAGGATATAGTTCAGTATTAAGGCTCTCAGTTCAATCCCAATACCAGAAAAAAACAAAAAACAATAAAAATCCAAACTAGTATTAAATTATGTAGGGTAAAGGACAATTTGGTGATTTAGGGAGACAATCTCAAAATAAAATATAAAAAAGGTCAAAGGATATAGTTCAGTATTAAGGCTCTCAGTTCAATCCTAATACCAGAAAAAAAACAATAAAAATCCAAACTAGTATTAAATTATGTAGGGTAAAAGTGTGTATCTTTTTCAATAAAGGCAAAAATTCAAGAATATTATGTGAGAATGAAGTCTAGAAAAATTTTTCTAATGACAAGCTACAAAGGTAGCACCACTAATAACATTCCTCTACCCTTAACATACACCATGTCTACAACTCTTCTTAGACCAAAATCTTATTTTTGAATCCTCTCCTTTTATTATACTAGCTCCTGTATAATTCCTGCTTGCTATGAATGTCTACAAATCCTTCACATTAGCACACAAAGTACCTTCCTGATTTGTTTTACCTTAGGTTTATATTCTAGGTTTGAACTTCAGTTACAAGTAATGTGGAAATATATATGTAACTATCTCCCAAACATAAACTGTTGGCAAAATAGTTGGGTTAGAGTAACTTAAAGCGAGGGATGGCCTAGTAGAGCACAATGTTGTAGTAAATAAAATTTTATTATTATATAGCCACACCCATTCATTATTTGTTGTAAATGACTGTTTCACACCATAATAGCAGAGTTATGTAGCTGTGATTGAGTTTATGGCCCACAAAACTTAGAATATTTATCATCTGGTCTTTAAAAACATTTTTCAAAGCCCACAATGCTAACTGTTGGTATACTGCAAATTTAAAACTATTATCTTTTGGGTGGATATAAATGGAACAGGCGGCCTTCCATTAGCTAGAGATGCTGCTAGTATTATGTGACCCTACTGCTGCCACACTGTCTGAACTCACTCCAGCAAAAGAATTATTATTTTTTAAGACAGGATCTCACTGGGTAGTTTAGGCTGGCCTTGAATTCATTATGTAGTTCAGACTGGCCTGCAACTCACGGGAATCCTTCTGCCTCAGTCTTCCGTGTGCTGGGACTAATGGTGTATGTCACCTCACCCAGCTCACTCCAGCAAAGATTTTACAAAATCATCTTCCAAAAGTTATCCTGCTAAATTAATTTGTTCATTTAAATCAAAATAAAGTCAGGTCGAATAGTCAAGTTCAACTGTTTTTGTGAATATCACATGTTACTTTCACCAAGTTTTCTTTCCATGTGGGTTAGGACTATAGAAAAACTCAATTTAAGGCTTGTTTTAGACTGGTAGTCTTTTCATGGTTTGTATTATTGGGAACTTAAGGCCAGGCCTCCCACATGCCAGGCAAGTGTTCTACCTCCCAGCACATTCCCAGTCTTTTACTTTTATTTTTTTCTTTTAATTTTGAAAAAAAATTTTATTCAGTGGCTGAGTTGCCCAGGTTGGAGTTCCAACCTGTAACTCTCTCCCCTAAGTTTTCTAGAGTGCTAAGAGTACGGACATGTGCCAACTGCCCAGCTAGGTAGTGTACTCTAGTCACTAGACTCCTACAAGAGCATCATCTTCACCACTTTTTGCCTCTTCAATCTTCCTAACTCATAGCTGTGATTAAATCACCACAATCTAAATTTAAAGTCTAAAATTACTGAGGTTGGCTGATCAAGCCTGTACCTCCTAACATAAATTTATCTTGCAGTAATCTCTTTCCCCTGTCTCAGGCAGGCAAAAATGCCTTCTTCAAAATGGGTGGGGAGGAGATACCTTTCAACATACTGTACTATACTTCTTGTCTCTCCCTGCTCTAATTACCTAATTCTGCTTATCTTTCAAAACTCAAGTTAAACCCTTTTCCCAACAAGTAATCTCATAACCCCTACTTTTCCTTCACTATAAAGCTCAGAATCTGCTCTGAATTGCACCTTTTCAAAGTTTTTTAAAAAACTATTAGGTTCTATTTTTACTGTAGCTGTTTCATACATATATTGTCATGTACTATATAAACACGATGCTTTTTTTTTTTTGCACATGCTAGGTAAGCGCTGTCACTGGAATACACTCCAAGCTTAGGATGTGTATAATTAGTAACTACGCACTTACAATGGTACTGGTGTGCGTGAAAAATATCTTTTGGTCTTGTTCTGTAGAATTTTAGTCATTTCCTATGCTGGAACTGCTAAGAACGAAAAGCAAAAACAAAACAACAACAACAAAATCTTTCGGTTCAGTCAGCCAGTGAGTCAAAAACGGCTGAAAACGAAAAAAAAAAAAAAAAAAGAAGGGCCACAAGTACCCTCAACAGTGAAGTGCCTCCGCCGACAGGCTGCCGCGATCCCCGTCCACGCCAACCAACCCGAGGCTCCGCCGCACTTCCGCGCGCCTGACCCCGAGGTCCGGCCCCCGCCGCCCGCCGCCCGGCCCCCACCTCCCGCGGCCCCGCACGGCCGCCCCAGTCGCCCAGTCTCTGCCGGCTACTCACACTGGCCATGGCTGCCGGAGGAAGGCGCGGTCTTCCTCGCGCGAATGGGTCCTGGGAACAGGAGAACAGGAGACGGTCACCTAGCCCCGAGGCCCGCGCTCCGCCTCGTCCCTCCCCCGCCGCCCCGCCCCTCCCCGCCCCTCCCCCGCCGAGACCCGCCGGGCGCGCACGGCCGGGCATCGCGGTAGGGGGCGCTCAACCTCAGGGCCAGCTCAGGGCGGTGCGACCAGAGGAAGCTCGAAAGACCTAGAGACTCGGACAAGAGCTCCGTGGGAAAAGGCAATACCTAGGGCTGCGGCCCGACCACGGGCGAACGCGGAGGAACTGGCGCGGCCGGAAACCAGCCGCCGCGCTCCTCAGAGCCGCCTCCAGCTGGCCCACTAGCCGCCCCGTCTGCCGTCAAAATGGCGGCGTAAACCCTACGGGAGTTGCGTCTGGTCGGCCCAGCAGGCCTGAGAGGTCGCCTCCGAGCACATCGAGGCAAAGGATCATCGAGACAATGATGCGCACGCTTGACACGTAGGCCTAGGTGGCCCAAAGTGGGCGGGACTGAGCTGGAAGGGTGGAGGGTGGGGCCTTTAGCTGGGCTAGGAGGGACTTGGCGTTTAGTTGGTTGACTCATTGATCTGTTTACTACTTGCTTCCTTCGTAATAAATTTTTTTGGAGTACATTATTTACATTTCCCGAGTCATTGTTTTTGACTTACCTTTTCCTCTGCAGGCTCTCGATATAAGCTCAATAAATATGTATCCCACAATTTATAAAATAGCGTGCCATTCCAACTTAGGTATTTTAAAAAATAGTAACTGAAGTGCTCATTTCATTTAGATTTCCTAAGTTTTAAATTAAATGTCCTATCACACCATTTAATTGTGACATCCAAGTCATTTAGACTCCTCCAGATTGCCTGTTCCTCAGCCTGCCTTTGCTTCTGATAACCTCCTGATAGTTTTGAAGCTTACAAATTAGGCATCTTACATTGAATGTCAGTCTGTTGGAGTTGCCCGATGTTTTCACTGAGGCAATGTATTTTTTTTGGGGGGGCGAGGAGTGTAATGTGACCTCACCTCTTCAGTCCAGGTTGCATAATATCAATGTAACTTATTATTGTCCATGCTAACTAACCTTTATCACTTCACTAAGTTAGTGTTTGTCAGTTTTCTCCACTGTGAAGTCACTTTTTTCCTTTTGAAGGATGTCACTCTGTGTTGCACAAATTGTAGGAGAAAATACTCTGAGGGTATAAGATCTTCATAAATTATTTGCAGTTTTTCTGCACTGCGGATTTTTCTGTTCTTCTCCATTTGTTTATTCAATCATTTATTTATATTGGCATGGACTTGTGAATATTTATTTTAAATTTTGAGTTATAATCCAATAGTATTTTAATTTGTTGTTCAAGTAGTCCCAGATTTGGTCATGGGATTTTTTTTTTTTTTTTGATGGCTCCTCTGCCCTTTTTATTTTTATTTATTTTTATTTTTTATTTATTTTTATTTTTATTTTTTTGGCGGAACCGGGAATTGAACTCAGGCCCTTGTGCTTGCCAGGGAAGCACTTATTCCACTGAGCCATCTCCCCAGCCCCCCTCTGCCCTTTTTAAACACATTATCAATTATGTGCTTTTCTTAATCATTTCCTGAGTATCTGGCATTATAAGATGCTCCAAGATCATTTTATATCTTCCCTGCTGCATTCCTAAAAATGTTATGGAGTTTCCAAGAAACTGGGGAGACAGGAGGGATTATAGGAAGACAGTTGTTTGTTTGTTTGTTTGTTTAATGTATTTGGTACAGGGTCTATAGGGTCTCACTACATACGTAGATTGGACCCAAAGTAGTGATTCTCCTGTTTTCAGCCTCCCAAACTCTGGGATTACAGGTGCAGCACCACCACGCCCAGTCTTGATCACCCTCTTGATCACTGGATGTGGAGCCAGCACTACAGGCCAGGGATTGAACCCCGGCCACTTCCCCCTGCCTAAAGCAGGCGCTTTAGTCCGCTGAGCTATTTGGTGGACCCTTACAGGAGGACTTTTTTAGTGCCCAACCAGCCACTAGTAATGCTCACACCAGGCTGGGCCCGGAATAAGGGAGAGGCCCCTTTTAATACAGTTTGTGATGTCAAGCAAGTAGAGCTACAAAAGTGAAACCAGTGTCAGACCCTAGTGGCCTATCTCAGCCTCGAAAAGAAAACACATGCTGTGTGTCTCCTAATGTTAGTATGCTGTGAAAATTGTTTATAACTGTTTGTTAGTTTTGTTGGTGATGGTACCAGCATTGGCCCTGCAAGGGAGGAAATTCCCAGGAGAGAACCGCTGGATGTGTCTCCCTTATCAGTAAGAAAAGCACAGAACTGTGGGGAGAAAGCAGTGTTCTTGGGGAGGAGTTGTTGGAGTTGATTGCCTGGAGCTGGGAAGATTTTACACAGGGAGAGAGGCTTCGTTGGTTTTGCTTCTTTCCTGAAATCTGCTTTAAAGGTAGCCACTTTCCCAAAGAGCCATGATCTTTTTAATGGAAAATGGCTAGAAATCAAGATCTGGACATTTGGAGTATTTGTGCCGACAGGCCTACTTAATTACAGAGCAAAGAGATTTATTTGTGTACACTAATGTGAGTAAACATACTCATTTGTAATTATTTGTGTATGTACCCATCAGTCTATGTCAGCTACATAGGCGTTCACGCTGATGTCTCCAGCCCTAGCCCTGCACTACATGATCACGATAGCATCACTGCTTGTATTTAAGTTTCTACTACTGGGTGAGAAACTCGGCTTCCACCATCTGCCATCTGCCTGCTCTACTGTTGGATTCCAGTTCAGATGGATAGTGGGTTCAGAACTGTCAGGTCATATTCAGTGTGCATATATAGTGTATTCAGAATTGTGATCAGGTATGCTCGCGGGAATGAGATTTGCACCTATAGCATAATACTGTGAGTAGTTATTTTCTCTTTAACCCATTCTAAAGAAAAAAAACGCCTCACTCATTAAATCCTCTTACCTCCTCAGAGTCCTGGTAATCACCGGTTTATTTACTATCTCAGTAGTTTTGGCTTTTCCAGTGATGTAGAAATGGAATCATACAGTATGTAGATTTTCAGACTGATTTTCCTTTAGCATTTTCATCTTGTGTGACTCAATAACCCATTTTTTCTTTTTCTTTTTAACTCTGTGAATAATATTCTAACATGCAGATGTTTCATTCTTTGTTTATACATTCACCTATTGTTATAGGCAGCAAAGTCACATAGAACTCTTAGGGCTAGGTCCTCGAAGGAGCCATTGCAAGAGGTGAGATATCTTGCAACTATGAGGGAGACAGGCTCTTCCACTGAGGGCTAGATGTTAAGGCAAAAGACCCAAATACACCCACATATTACCTAGAATAAACATCAGGACTTGATATCCTAGGTAGGCACTGATGACCTCAGGAAAGCCAGAAAGCCACTGACCAAACCCCCTACAGGAAGAGCCCCTGTTCTGCATTCATGCCCCCTTGCCACAAGACTCACTTCCCCATTTGATCTCAGTTTAGTCAATTTTACCTGAGCAGTTATGCTCCTAATCATATTGATTGACCATAGTTTTGTCCCATTCCATACCCGTCTTGTGGTTTCCTATGTTTCCCCACCTTGGACCTGCCTTTGCCCTGTGGTTTTGCTCTGTAAAATACCCTAGAAAAGGCAGGGTCCTTGGCAACCCACTCAGAACTTCTTTTGTCTCTCTCTCTCTCTCCAAAGAAGCTTTCTTTCCCCAGTAAATATATTCTGCTCTTCACTTTGGTTCCTAAAATTCATTCTTCAATTTTAGAGAACACAAACTCATACCAGATATCTAGCAGATTGGAAGTTTGTTTTCCCTCTATCAGCACTTTGGTTTCTTTAAGTTTTGATGGTTGAGAATAAATCTTCTTTAAAGATTGTGCAGGTTTTTCTGTGGATAAGATTCCAAATCAGTTAGGTAATATTTTGGAGCACAGTTACTGATAACAGTATATTTATAAGATATTTACAAATAGTTTTGTTAGATAATTTGAGCAGTATACATACACACTGCCCACAGTATGTATACAATTAGTTTAGCAAATGTCTTCTGTACTGGTAACATTGAGCAAACAATTTCACTTTTGTCCAGTTACTACAGTAAGAGATATCTAAATTATTGGCTTTGTAAATCACTCACCATTTGACATCCCATAGCTGTTAAATCAATGAACATTCAGCCCTAGAAAAAGGAGAATGTCTTAGAATGCCTTCTGAAGTATGTCTAATGCAAGAGATTTTGTTACTTTCCTTTGGAAACATCATGTGGTATCTCAGAAAGCCCCACTTTCTGAGATTATCCTTGCCCAAAGTTCTCATACTACATGTCTATTTCCTCTTTTCTGTGAGAGAGAGCTGGGGGGAGGGGTAAAACAAAAATTTTTCACTTTATTTTTATTTTTTATTCATTTATACTGTTTAGTACAGAATCTACAGGGTCTCACTACACAGATCAGACTCATAGTGATCCTTCCTGTTTTTCAGCCTCCTAAACGATGGAATTACAGGCATGCACCACTGTGTCCAGTCTCAATCAACATCTCAGGGCACCCCAGGGCAGGGCCAGCAGTGCAGGTCGGGGATCAAACACTGGGCTCCTGTGCCTATCTAAGCAGGCGCTTCAGTCTGCTGAGCTACCTGGCTGACCCTAAATTTATTTTTAAATTGTTACGTTTTAATGCTAGAAATTAGTAGACCCAACAATGGGCTAAAGACTAAAGTCTTCAGACTGAAATTTGAAGTTGAGAAAACACTACGTATTTCCTCAGAGAAAACACCTACATGTGTTCAGCCTGTGGCCTAATGGTTGTACATGCCTGCCTTACCTGGGCCATGTTGAGTAATGTGGAACTACTTCAGGTGGAATGTAAAATAGATAGCATGGTTAATGTATGCAAGTAACAAAGCTTTTTTTTCCAAAGTATTTCTTACTTTAGCACAGGTATCAACAACCCATGGACTACAGGTTGAACGACTTTGGAACTAAACATAAGAAAACCATGGAAGAGGTAGAAGCTCTCTTTATCTGGTCCCTCAGGAATGGAAAGCACCGGAAACTGCAATGAAGTTAGCCATGTGAAGCGTTTATGTTGTAAACATTAGCAAGTAGAAATTAAGTTAGATTTGGATAAGGAAGTCCAGATTATCTTTCCAATATTTCTAAGAGTTATCATTCTGAAGACCTTCACCATGTCTACCTGTGCTCTTCTAAAAAATAGTGTTCCTTTGCCCTTAGAATACCATCTTCTTGAAGGAGAAAAGGTTGAAGGAGAAAGATAAGGAGTTTGCTGTGGGATATTTTCAGATGCCTGAAGGACATGCATGTAGAATTGCCCAGTTGTTTGAAGCAGACCTGTTTCTCAGGAAATTGGATTATGTGGAAGATAAGGATTTGAGGGTCT